GCCTAGCAAGCATGACATTCTGGGTTTGAGTCTTAACACGACATAAACCTGGCATGTTGGTTCGAACTTAAAATCTTAGCATTCAGGAGGTGGAGTCAGAAGGATCAAGGTTGTCTTTAGCAACATAGTGAGTTCAAGGCCAGCCTGGAACACATCAGACTGTCTCAAAAGACAAACCAACAAAATCCTCCCAAAACATGTAACAGAAACAAATCTTAGAAGCCATTTCTGCTGTCTCTGAGGTTAGACAGTGCCATATGTTACCAGTTCACATTATCTGGGAAGGAAAAAAAGGTAATCTTCAACACGACAAGTTAAAAACTCACATGAAATGGAGAAATAGCAAGATTAGCCACGTACCTATTTATCTTGTTCCATTAAGGAATTTTCAGTGAATAAGATTATGTATATATCCTTGACCTGTGGAAAATAACACAGGTGAGGGTGTAGGTCGGTTAGGCGAGCCCTTGAATGTGGTGGTGCACACTGTCATGGGACTGTGGGGAGGCTGAGGCAGGAGAACAAACTGAAGGTCATCGGTGACTTAGAGGTGAGGGATGGGGATGTGCAAAGGGAAAAAGAGGACGACTGAGTAAGTCAAAGGAAAGCACACAGTTGTGCCAGCATCTGAAGAGCATTAAAGCCACACCAGGAAGGCCACCAAGATGGCTCTCTGGGGAGGAGAGAACTGACTGCCACCAGCTGCCCTTGGACAGTCACGTGTTTGCTGCAGCATGCTAACAGTGCCCTCCACCCTAAGTAAATGCAATTACAAACATTTTTAAAGTCAACCTAGATTGGTAACAACTTACAACAAAGTCTTGGAGGACGTTAACATCTGAAATGTTACCCTACAAGTTTAAACACTCCCAGCTGTGTTCTCTAAAGAGTGGAACTGCTAATCCCTTTAAAAGGCAACCTATTAACTATCTTCTCTTGCAAGAACCAACCACTGACTACTGCTGGCACCCAAGCAGTGCACAGCACTGAGCCCCTCGGGGAAGAACATGTCGATTTTACTATTACACCTCAGAATTTTAAAATCAAAAACATAAGCACTTCGAGCATCCGTAAACAGCACGAGACTGGGGACAAAGCAGCTAGTTTTTTTGTTTGGGGACAAGGGAGAACCACATGACAGATCCATGTTTAGCAGTCAGCATCCAAATCTAAGGTGAATTTTGACTCAGGAAATTTTCTTCTAGAAGCACAAACTTATTAAACCTCTACAAAGATGAGCCATTTGGAACCTACAGGGGCGGGGGGTGGGGGGCTTTGACTGGAAATACAGCACAGGAAGAACATAACGGAGTCAAGGATAGCGCCATGTCCCTGCCTTGTATGCACACCCAGCGGCACCTTGCTCAAGGAATGTGGCCTTCCTCTAGAGGTCAGGCTTCTATCCTGAATGGCTTTTGCCTTTTGCCATATGGCCAGGTGCTCCCACTGTCAGCTTCACCACACATTACAGATGCAGAGGTGGCATTGCCTGGCTCATCATCAAACAGATGCACCTTCCTCCACAAAGCTAGGACCCCAGGTCTCCTTGGCCTCAGTCGAGCAGATGATGAGTTTATTGTCCTTGCAAGCTTGCATATGCTCTCACGTATGTCATGAGAGATGCCAGCCTGCTCAGACACTGACAGATGACACTCTTTCCTATACCCCACGCTGCTCGGACTGAGGACTGCAGCCCTGGTGTGGTGCCAACTGGACATCTCAGACACTTTGAACAATTAATGTGTCGCTCTCTTCTGCAGGTAGAATCTGTGAAGATTATTCTTCCTTGTGTGAAGAGTCAAATTTAGATTAAGGGGCGGGGGAAGAGGAGAGAGATGGCTCAGTGGTCAAGAACATTTGGGGCTCTTCCAGAGTTCTTCCAAGTTCAGTTTCCAGCTCGCATCAGCTTGCTTACCTGTAATTCCAGGGGAAGCAGCACTCTTCTGGCCTTTGAGGGCACCCACTTTCACAATGCACAAACTCCAACCCAGATACACCCACACTCATTACTACAAATAAAATGTTCTTAAAGATTAGATTAAGAAATAAGCCCATGGTTGAAACCACTTCACCACAGAAATCAGGGGGAAAACTCTGAACAACATTTTGTTAAAATCAGGTTCTCCAGAACTGGCAAGATAGATCAGTGGGTAAAGGTGCTTGCCACCAAGCCCAACAACTTGAGTTTAATTCCTGGAACCCAAATGATAGGGAAAGAACCAACAGCTGCCCTCAAAGTTCCAGACTACCTGTGGCACATGACTACTTCTCCCATTAAAGAACAAAAAACAGGTAAATAAACTTAACTAATAAGAAAAATCAAACACCCCAAAACAATTAAAAAACAAAACAAACCCCAGGTCCCCAGTCCACACATACCCAGAGTTAGGCACAGCACCAAGATACAGGACAACTGTATCAACAAGCTACAGGCACTGTCCATCTTCCTGGCTGTCCTACATCTTCAAATCTTCAAAGTCCAAGGAGACAAGTTTGAGACAAGAAACTTCAAACTATCTCGAATATTTGAATCTGTATACAAACACAATCAGAAGGTGCGCCCCAGTCCTGAGTCGCCAGCAACAGCTGTCTATGTGAACTTCAAGGTTTGAAAATAGCCTCCAACACCTTCTATCAGTCGACTTCCACAGTTCTGACACAGAAACAAAACTCTGAAGTCATGGATAACTGAATCGGCCAGTTTTTATGATGGACTTTCATGCACATTTAAAACTTAGTTCTCTGAAGAGGTACAGTGAAAGGAGCCATGACATTTCAAGAACCAGGGTAAACCTAATCAACCACTGTGACAGCAAATTCAAGTAAGTGAGGCCATGCAGGTAGAGGCTCCTCGATGGTGGGCGGGCAGGGGCTGTGATCTCACCTAATAAAGCAGAGAGAACGTCATTCTTAGGTAATCTTATGTGCCAAGATCAGACTCACCTGCCGTGGCTTACTGGCTCCAGTCTTCACCAATCTAAAGACAGCTGACGATCTGGCTGGTTCTCTGAAACAATGTAAGTTGGAAACTGGTGTGGGCACAGAACAAATCACTCATCATAAAAATTAGTATATATGCTGGGTCTAAGAAATTCCCTTCACACCGGGCAGTGGTGGCGCAGGCCTTTAATACCAGCACTTGGGAGGCAGAGGCAGGCGGATTTCTGAGTTCGAGGCCAGCCTGGTCTACAGAGTGAGTTCCAGGACACCCAGGGGTACACAGAGAAACCCTGTCTCAAAAAAAAAAAACCAAACCAAGGAAGGAAGGAAGGAAGGAAGGAAGCCTGGGCTATGAGATCCTGTGTCCAAAATCCAAAATGGGATGGGAAGAGAGTATGGTCTAGAAAGTGTCTTGCACAAGAGAAGGACCAGAGTCTGGATTTCTAGAACATATGTAAAAATCCAGAGGTGTCTGCACACATGTGTAATCCAACAGTGAGGGAAATGACACAGGTAGGCTAGGATCCCTGCTACTCACTGGCCAGCCGGCCTAGTTGAACTGGTGACTTCAAGCTTCAGTAGGAGACAGTGTCAAATAGAACAGGAAGAAATCAAGGCAAACCTACCTGCCTTCTCCTTTCAGGCACTGCTGGAGTTACCCATGCTAGCAAGTACACAGAATACACACGAAGCCACTAAATGAGGAAATGAATTGAGAGCAACTCTGGAACCAATTCCTAAGTTACAGAGAAACAAAGGCCTGAAGTCTAGAGACCAAGAAAACTATGGCTCAAGTTCAAAGTACTTTCCTGCCAGGGTGGCGGTGACTCACACCTGTAACCTCGGCATTCAGGAAGATCATGGATTTGAGGCCAGCCTGGGCTAACATGAATCTTTACTTCAAAACACAGGCATATAAACATACATGCACGATCTTTCTGGACATCAACTCCTAAGTCTAAGTGAAAATGATTCAGAAGGTATTAAAGTACCGATTACTGAAGTGATTAATGATTAAGCCCAAGGCCTCAAGAGACCTAGACGACACAGGGTAAAGTGCACACTCCCCTAAAATCCCAGACAGTCTCCATGCCTTGCTCTGCCTTTCTCTTCAAAGGAAGAAGAAAAGGATTATTAGTAACAAAATGACAAAGCAAAACATTCCAAGTCAGCAAGGCCCTTACTAAGCAAGCATCTACGCAAGCCTCGTTAGTATTAAATGCGTCTTTTTCATCATCAGAGTTTAGGCTCCATAGCCTATTTAAATACATACGGGATTCACTGGCCAGGAGCGCCCAACCTTCAGACTAAACTTTGTTACTTTCTCCAGGAACTATTCACTGGGCTGTACCTTCAGAACACAGCACAGATAGTGACCCAGGTGTGCCAGACTGAGTTGCAGGCCCCACTCCCTCCCCTTACTGCACCCCAACCCCAGATTCTGACAGCCCTGGCTGCAGCCACTCACTGTGGCCCCAGCAGTATCAAGCCCTGAAGCCACCACACATAACTATTCTAACAGCAGAGGAATTTCCCTATCTTAGCCTTAAACACAGTTAGTCAGGATAAACCCAGACACAATCTATTCTAAAAAAGAACCTATTTAAGACCATTATTAATTTTCTACTTACTGCATGGATTCAGATTCCCAGGGAACAGAGCACAGGTGCTAATAGCACCTTACACTACCAAATCTCACTGACTGGTATTTAAGCAGGAACAAAGGCACTGCAGGCAACATTCGAAGGATGGGTAGGCATGAAAACACTCCACACGCGTTACCAAGTTCTATGTACAGTGACTGCTTGACGTTTAAAAGTCACGGTTAACCAACATTTCTCATTAATGTCAAATCAAAACATCAAGTTAGATCTGAGATGATGACAGCTATGCCTGCCCATATCTGATGGCATGACTGTCACTACTCAAGCAAACCTTCATTTCCTTCTTTTTTTTTTTTTATCAACCCTGACATTTCCATGTGGTGGAAACACTGCCTGACTTCAGGACCCCATTTAGAAGCAGATTCAACACAGCAGCACAAAGTTCACAGCCACAAGTTGCACATAAAGGGTTTATTTTTGAATGTTTTAAGGAAGGATAGAGTTACATCATAATTATAAAAATTACTTACAGAATTAACAGAGTTGTACTGTGTATACTTCTAAATGCAGAGAACAGGGAACCATCTACACATTGTATAAAATAAAATTAAAATTAAAAATGAATTCAAGCTCAAAAAAATGAGGTCGTTTATCTAGTTTCAAATGTGAACACGAAGACCTCTGAACTCTACTCGCTCGTCCGAACTGCACCAATGGTGGAGAAAACAAGAGTGCAGCCCTCCCAAGGAACACAGACATCTCGGCCATGATTACTTTGAGTATTTTTCCTGTGTCATCTTTGGAGGACTTTCATCTTTTTGACAGTCAGTGTCAGGCACTACAGTTTGTGACGATCAGAGCAGTCTTCTGTCTAATGGGTCTACAGTGTTCAGAGATTCAGGCCCAATGCACTTTGGGGTTTGGCACATAAAACAAGAATAGAAATGAAATCTGGCTTAGAAGCAACTGTGATTTTAGAGCGTGCACAGTCCCTTCAAATGCTGCGTGACATATACAACTGGAATCACCTTCTGTCGGCACTACGACTGCTTCACCAGTGCGTCTTTACCCTACAACCACTAGAACAGCACAGTAAGCAAATATACAGGAAGCCAAAAGCAAACTGAAAGAAAGAAAAAAAGAACCTAGGTCTCTTTAACATGCAATTTTAGTTAGTTACATTGAACATTCTACTTAGAAGAGAGCATGCAAAAATGGATGGTCTGCTTTAAGGTTCTTCTCTGAAGTTTACGTGGCAGCCTGACGTCACACACGCACGCACACACGATACGATACTAGAGCAGGTAAGTGAAGAAGGCCAGTAAATTTTATACACAGATTCACGGCTCGTGTTGCCACAAGCCCCATGAGAATTTTGGAAATTAATGCTGAACTCCTAAATGAGGAATCAACATTCAGATACCAGAACAATGCAAGCAATGCATGCAGATCTGAAGTGTGAGCCTAAGGGAAGCCCAAGGTGGCAGGCTCAGGAGGAGTCCGTCACCATTAAGGGTGGTGGAAGCCACCAAAAGAAGAGTGGGGTAGGGGGAGGGATTAAAACCAATTAAAATACAAACAAACAAATAAAAACCTTCCCCTTCCCTCAACCTTATGTAAAGGCAATAAATGGGATAGTGATCCAAGTCATCACCGTCATCATGTTGTATTCCTCCAGACCGGGAGTTCACGGGGAGCCAAAGTTAATTTGGGTTGCTTGCAGAAAACCACAATGCAAGTCATCAGATAATGGCAGACACATTGTAACTGATCCAATTTTACTTTCTAGTCACCGTGCCGTGTTCCGCACCCTAGCGGTGCATGCAGGACACGCTCACCCACTTGTGCCACATATACCAGTATGGGCTGTAAGAGTCAGACTCAGCTTGGAGATTACATGCAGGACGACACCTGGTCACATATACTAGAGGAACCAAAGACTAGGGTATATCACATTGCATTGCGAAGCTTGTCCCTGGTGCCTATGAGGAAACACTGAGCACAAGGTGACTGCAGTCAGGGACAGAACTGAGGTACTGTGTTCACATGGTGAGCAGTTGTGACCACCCAGCAGCGTAAGGCGGCCTGTGAAGACTAAACGGATATCCAATAACCATGCGCCTTGAACCATGAATAATTTCTTGCATCAGGAAGAACCCCAACTAGGTAAGCAGAACTACACTTGACCAAGCCTCTGGTATTTGCCTGACAGTACCCAAGACTGTCCAGCCACAGATACGATTTCCAACCTCCATGAGAAACTGGTTTTACAAACCATCTTTCTCCCAGCTGACAAGCTACCAGGGTTCTTCCAGAACAAAGTGAGAGCAAGTAGATGTCTGGCTAGTCAACAAACTGCACTTCAGTTCTATTTCAGCTCCACATAACCTCACAGGAACATATCATGAATGCACTTGATGGCGAAGAGCTGCGATCCACCCATAACCAGCAAGGATAACCTTCCAGTGACACATCATAGACATGCAAAGCCCAGAGGCCATGGAGGGAATAAACCTGCATGAATAGCACACTTGGAGCAAGAACAGACACTGCCACAACAGGGTCAAGGCAAGAAGCCATATTGGTCTAACATTTTCTGTGGGGGAAAGTCAGGAGGAGCAGGGGTGAGTAAGGAAGGGGAGAAGAGGCCTTCTGACCATAATCATATAGAACAATAGTAGTAATAAAAATTAAAAAGTCCCAGAGAACTTGATAGAAGGCAACAAGGCCATACTTAAAACTTTTCTAATACAAATGCACTGTTCTTGCGGGAATTTATCACATATACAAACCATTGGTGTATTGTTGCCTTTTAAGTCCATGTACTAAGATCTCGATGACAGGTGTGTACAAATGGACCAATGTGCCATCTAAAAGCATATCTACATTATTCCATGTGAACCAAGGACCTGGGTTCTATTTTAAAAGTACTTACGATTAAAGAGTAAACAACAACAGAAACAAACAAATAACAACAAAAACAAAGCTTAGAATTGAAGGCAGCCTTTCACCCAGATTTCTCAACAGTTTACTAAATTCTACTGTGGGTCATTGACTGTTTATGGCTAATTTATACCTGGACTCAGCTGAAAGCCTCCAGATTGAAATGGTACTTTTGAAACAACCTAAATGTCTCTGTGTGCTTCCTGTGCCCAAATGTAATTTTAAACAAAGAGCAGGCATATTATAAATATGACTGACTTGGGTCAAGCACTCCTGTTGAACTGGAGAAAACATTATCACCCCCACTCCAATCCGCAAGGAAGGAGTGCCAGCGGTGAGTGCTTCTGTGTGTGTATAATATATACATAGGCACACAGATGCAGATCTAGACAGGTAGCTATATAGATACATAATCTCTCAAAAAAGGCAGTAACAAAAATAACAAACTATGCTTGCATTGTGGCAGCAGAATAAGACAGTGTCAGAGTGAAGGGAAAATGGTTACAACCTATCCAGGTTTAAATGACTATGATACTAGCTTAACTTTTACCACCTTGCTTGTAACCCCCCACAGACAGCCTTCTTGGAAGAAGGAGGACCCCTCTCACAGATGCTTTGAAGAGGGAGGACCCCTCTCCCAGATGCCTTGTGTTCGAATCAGTCTGCACTATTCAGAACAACACCAGCTCTGCTGGTGGAGATTGTGGGTTCGCAGGGACATCTAAGCTTTCATTAAACTGGAAAGCAATCAAGTCTTTATGTCTACAAATTATACATTTAATAGTTCCACAAATTTGGCAGAGTTTGTGATGACATCTAGGATGTTTTCACCAAATCGTAGACGTAAATATGGAAGTCGTCATCAAACTTGATGAAATAGACAGAGGGCTTGGCCTCTACTTGATGGATGACCATGCCAGTCCTTTTCGAGCCATCTTCTTTGGCATATTCCACTTGTTTGCCTACCAGGCTGTCCACAACTTCTCCTGGCTCCCTTTCTGCTGGAGGCGAATCATCTGTATTTAAAAGAACAAGAAAAAAATCTAGTCAATCAATATTTAGATATATCACTACCACATTCTGCAGCAAATATAAACACTTCTAAGATATCCCGAGTTCATTATGATCTGGTCAAGTTCACACTTTTTTTTGTTTTTGTTTTTGTTTTTGGAGACAGTATTTCTCTGTTTAGTCCTGGCTGTCCTGGAACTCACTCTGTAGACCAGGCTGTCCTCGAACTCAGAAATCCGCCTGCCTCTGCCTCCCAAGTGCTGGGATTAAAGGCGCGTGCCACCACTGCCCGGCAAGTTAACACTTTCTTAAAGGGTTACTCTGTAAATATTTCAGGCACATGGTCCATGTTCCCAAACTCTCATCTATGAGAATGCAGCACCAAAGTAGCCAAGGGCAGTCCAGAAGTTAACTGCCAAGATATACTTTAGCTAAACACTTATCACGGGTTTCTGAACTCCATCCAGATAGATATATCAGTGATTTAAGCATTATAACCCAAACTTCTTGGGATCACATTAAATTTCAACTGCAATCATCTAAAATTAATTTTAAATGGCTTGAAACTGACTTTCCTAAAGGGCTTCCTGAGACCATGCCGCTCATTCCCAGTGCTGAGACATCACTGGGGTCTACCTCCAGGTAAGTCTTAAAGCTTCCCCTCCTCGGCTTCAATGCAGCCAATCATCTTCCACCCAGTTTTAGAATAAAGGAAATAAATTCTCCATGCTTTACAAGTAAGCACTAGGTAAACTCTAGTTTTCTGAGGGTAGGAAAATGGAAAATCAGATCCCGGAGGATAGCCCAGATATCAGCACCATCCCTAAGAGCCCTAGGTTGTAGTTACCCGTGGGAAAACACAGAATGACAACAAGCCACCACTGCCCAAAACAAAACACAGTGGGATGGGGACAAGACTATTTTAAAGCTCTTCTTAGAGGAGCAGACAGGCCCGTGGGTGGCCAGATGTCTCAGGCACACAGGGCAGCCTCTGCTACCGTGGCATATTTGGAAAGACAAGAGTTTCTAGCACAGCATCCTAGTGTGGCTCATATCACATGTCTACACTAACAAGTCTCTCACTGAATGACGATATGAAACCCACTAGTGATCCCTGGCACAGACACACACACTATAAACTGCACATGACCACATAGAACTTTTAAACTGGAAACTGAAAAAAGAAATACTTTTTCTCAAAAATTCCCTTCCCTCAGGTGGCATTATCCTATTACCACACACTTGCACAGAAAACTACCAAGTTTACCAAGAAATTCCAAAGGCATGATCCCAACTGATTGACAGAAACTCTATAGAGTCCAGACCTTCTACTGAGGCTTACTTAGCCAGCAAAAGGACTGAATTCCACCCACAATGATGGGGCTGCTTCAGAACTACCACAAGGTCAGCACTATTCTAATGGGAAACAAACTTTCACACAACTGACAGGAAATCCAGAAGCTTGGAAAGGCAAGAGATATAGTAGTTGGGAAAGATGCAGTGTTCTATGTGAAGGACTTGCCTTAGAGCAACAGCACTTGCTTTGATGGACACCTCTCTATAGGCTGCAGAATCCTTTTAAAGAACACAGTTCTGAATATAAATACTAGAGTATATAAACAATTTCCTTTGCAAATATAAACAAGAGTTTAAAAAAACAAAACAAAACAAAAAACCAAAGTAGTCATTCCAGGCCAGACATGTTCATCAATAAGTCCTCTTAACTAGCTTCCTCATAGGAAGAACTTTTTTAAAGGGTTTTAAAGAAAAATAGAAATAATTGTCACACTGCTAATAGAATGTGCCTGCTTGCCACAAAGTCTTAGGTCAAGAGTCCTTTTAGAACAGGTTTAAAAAAACAAAACAAGACAGGTTTAGCCTCCCTGATGTGCCACAGTTCCAGCACTCAGGAGGCTGGGCTAGGGAACGCTGAGTTTGAGGACCTAAGACTCTGTGGCAAGCAGGCACACACTATTAGTGCCACAAAGTCTTAGGACACTCTTTTAAAACAAAACAAATCAAATACTAATCACTAAATAAACAGGCTTATCAAAAAAAAATCACATAAGAAAACAATTCCATTTACAGTAACTTTTAAAAATTCTTAGGAGCAAAAGAAAGGAATGTTTAAGACTCGAAAAATTGCCGGGCGGTGGTGGCGCACGCCTTTAATCCCAGCACTTGGGAGGCAGAGGCAGGTGGATTTCTGAGTTCGAGGCCAGCCTGGTCTACAGAGTGAGTTCCAGGACAGCCAGGGCTATACAGAGAAACCCTGTCTCGAAAAACCTAAAAAAAAAAAAAAAAAAAAAAAAAGACTCGAAAAATTATAAAACATTGCTGAAAAAACTCCGCAGATCCCAAGGCTTTAAAAAGCATCCTTGGTCACAGACTGGAAGACTTGCTCATACTTGTTAAGATAGAGGGCAGCAGCACCCTGCAAACAGACGGGACCAACACGGTCAGAGCCCCAGGAGACTTCTTTATGGAAATTAGCAAATTGATTTCAAAATCCATGTAATTGCAAGACACCCAGACCAAACAGCCAAGGCAGTCCTGGGATGAACACTGACAGAGGCCTCACACTTTTGATTTCAATATTTACTACAAAATAACGTGATGCAGTGTGGGAGCTGCAAGGAGAGACACAGAAACAGGTGAAGAGAACCGGGGATCCAGACACAGACACATATCCAAGGCCAATGATTTTCAACAAGATGTCAAAAAACATTCTACGGAGGAAAGAACAGTCTTTTCAATACAAGGTGCTCAGACACATGGGGAACTACACAAAAAAGAATGAGTTGCCCTCTTATACCCTGACCTCACACTATACCACATGTTAGTTAAAAAACATATCCAACTATGAACCATTTAAAAGAAAACAAAAGGCCTAAAGTTATGATCTTAGATTTGGCAATTCTGGAAACAGCAAAAGCACAAGTAACAAAAGACAGATGAACTGGACCTGAAAGTTAACAACTTAGGTGTCCATGACCATCAAAGATGAGAAAAGACAGATGAAATGGCAGAACACACCTGCAATCCCAGCATAGGGACATGACCACAGTGCAAGAAGATGGAGACTTTGAGGCCAGTTTGGATCATATAGTTACCTGCAGGCCAGCCTAAGCAACATAGCAGGATCTGCTGGGATGCAGGCCCCCGCCCAAGTGAAAAGACAGCCCACAGGAGAACATGAGTAAATCTGATTTCTAATAAAAGACATGATCTAGAATACTCACACTAAACATTCATTTTACCAGAGATACACAAATGTCCACTAAGTACGGAAAAAAAATCCCTGTGACATCACTGGTCACCAGAGAAACACAAAGTAAACCATAACGGGAAGCTACTTCATCCTCAGTAGAAGTACTATTAGAACAGAAGTCCTATTAGAACAGGCACATGCTGGCGAGGACGAGAGAAGACGGCAATGTACAGAGGTACAGTTGAACAATGCAACCTGGAGATGCGAAGACCAAGGAATTCCACTTCAAAGTACATTACTAAGGAAAAAATGAGAACATACACTCACAAAGGATCTCATAGTGTTTATAAAACACCAATATTCATAGTAAGCAAAACACAGGAACAACCCAAATATGAATCAATAGCTAGACCTGTGAAATACAGTATAATCCATACAATAAACTGTACTTGATCATCATTTATAGAGAATAAATCCTAAAACATGTTCCAACATGGGGGAGCCCTGAAAGCATGCTAAATAAGAACATCACAAAAGACCACATGACCCATTAACATGGAACTCCACAGCAGGAAGACTGGCTGCTTAGGGCCGTGAGTAAAGGACAGGGAGACCAGAAATAAAAAAGCTGGGCATGGTAGAGGCAGAGGGATGAGGAATTCAAAGTCATCTTCAACTAAGTAGAAAGGTCAAGATCATCCTAAACTAGGATCTCAAACCAGGGGGCGGTAAGCAGTGTGGGCCTTCCTGATGCACCAGTGCACAGAAGCTAACTGCCTCGACAGGCACACTCGGCTGTGAATACACTAAAAAGCACTGGGGTGACTTTACAGTATACACACCCCAAAACAAACAAACAGCAGAATAAAACTACCTTATGTTTGAAGCAAAACCTGCACAGACACAAGGTATATTCCTGTTAATCCCAGCATTTTGGAGCCTGAGGCAGGAGGATTAAATTCAAGGCCAGTTTAAGTTATAATTAAGTTCTGGGACAACCTCTGCTACATAACTGCGTAGCAAAGAACAAAGAACAAAGCCCAAGCTTCCTAAGACCATGTCACCACTCCCACTTCCCACTCTCCTCTGATTCAGCTGCGACTCAAGGTTCTCTCGTTCAGCTTTGGTTCTGTGGTGCTTGGGATGTAACACAGGGCCTCATGGGTGTTTGACAAGGCCCTTCTCTAGCACTGAGATTTATCTCAAGGCTCCAATTTTATGAAACCAGTATTCAGGTTAAATTTCCAACGTCAATGACCTGCTTCAAAGTAAATCACCTGGGGAAAAGAGGTAAAACTGGGCTTACGATGAGAACAGCTACTAAAGACAACAGAATGGATTTACTTTATTCCTTACATGGTCACATACTTTCCATTAATTAAAAAAAAAATTTTACTGAAATGTTTCTAAAAATTTAAAATAACCTTTCCAAGTGGTCATCTTATCATTTAAGACTCACAAGGAAAAATTTTTTCTATGTACACACACACACACACACACACACACACACACACACACACAAAAGCCCAAACACCCCAAAACACACCTGCAAACCTGCTACTCAAATATTTTAGTTAAAATACAAATTCCTTTCAAATCACCAAAGCCAAAAAAGTTGCCAATGTGTCAAGACTTACTGGAATCGGGCATGATGCGGAGGTCGCCTTCTTTGTAATCATCTAGGAGCTGGTACATGTACAAGACGGGGTCTTTCTCATAGGTGATGTAAAACCATGTGTTCATGACAGGTGCCCGTGCCAAGACCATTCCCCTCCATTCATCTTTAGAGCCATCCTCTGTTTCAAACATGTGCTCCACTGCTTTGCCAATCATTGTGTCCGCTAAGTGTGCATCGCTGATCCGAGATGTTGCTGGAATTAAAAGAGCAAAATACTTCAGCAAGTGTTTACCAAAGGAGACCAAACTTTGCCCGTGCAATGAATTAGTAAACAAGTAGCCAAAGGATCTCAGACGAGTGCCAGGGTCTAGCACAGGTGTGGAATAGACAAGAAGAAATCTGCCCTACGATGCGCAAGAATCTGTTCTGTTACTTTCTGGACTCAGTTGCTCAGAATCAGATCCAAGGCACAGTTGTGACTGTGTCACTGGTAGGTTAGCAGTCATTTTGAGCTGTGAGTTACCATGAGACTCACTGGGAGGCAAGGAGAGCAGAGTCCTCACACACAGCGTACATGCTGCCTTTCCTAGTACCATCAAGTCCTCTGAGCTGTCCATGTGCCCACCCACCCTCATAATACATAACACAAAGAATTAACCTAACATGCACTTGTTATTTTTAAAGAAACAGAGGTTCACTTCTCACCACTGTTCTGGGAACAGTTATTATTATGCCTACAATGTATTCTCTATAGTAACTAGAGTGATCACTATAGACCCTAAAGAAAACTGTCACTTAAAATGTCCCCATCCTTCAGCCCCTCAGTCTCTCCTCAACTTGAAGTAGGTAGGCTCAGTCTACCAAGACAAAGTTCTTTCTCTCTTCAGAGGACAGGCTATTTGCATAGCAATGTCCCTACAGGACAACTAAGGACAGTGGCACTATCACCTTTATAACATGCTGTTCTGTTCTTAGTTAGCAGTCCCATTACCTAATACTATTTTGTTTTATGGAGTTGCTGACCTGGGAAGTGTCCGGATATACCCATGAAGCAGGGCCATTTCTGTTCCTAGCACTTAGAGCAGTTTCAGGCCCTAGGTCTACTCTGTCATTTATACAAAAAGCAGGTGAAGAATTACCAGCCCTTTTATGCATTGCTTTTAACGGGACAGGTTATAAGGGGTTTCTCTCCAGTCCTCACATTCTAGACAACTGTCTTCCAAAATACTAAGTTCTCCTTTCTAGTCACTCATCCAGTTTCTCTATTAAAATCAAAACAAAAACTTCAGACTTTCTTGGCAAGTATACTGCTACTCAATGTACTTAGGACATACAACTTGTTTGTGGCGTTACATATACAATAGCAACCACAAACAGCATGAAATCTGCCCTGCAGAACACTTAAAACGTCCATGGAAGTGTGTGTGCACCCCTCCTCCATGGCTTCTCACATTTTTGAAATCTTAATTTCTAGCTAAAAGTGTTTAAGATATTGCTTGTGCGTGTATGTGTGTATGTATGTGTATAAAGGTCAAAGAAGGGTATCGGATTCCTTGGAGCTGCTGTGATAGGGATTTGTTGGATGCCTATCCTGTTCAGTCAGTCTGAACTAGCTGTGGTCCTGTTGATTGCTCAGCAAATATTAAGCACTAAGCCATCTCTCTGGCTCCGTTGCTGATATGAGCCAACATTTGGATTTCTCTCTTCAAATTGTTTTAGCTTACAATCATAATTCACGTCATCTGACAAACACTGGAAACTATAAAGAACACATACAGCCAGGTATGTTCACATGGTTTCTTTCTGTCCTATGAAGAGGCAATCGAGAAGTCTTATGCTGGGAAGCAGGCACAGAAAGAAATCCTGGGTCAGAAAACTGAACTTAACACCTCCTGGCCACCACTTAACACAACCAAGGCAAAGTGGTTAAGGTGGATACAGCTTTCTAAGTAAGGTACCAATGAGACATTTAACATCCATGTTTCCAGTGGGAGGCCTGACCTCAGATGAAAAGTACAAGGTATGCACTTAAGAGCTGTCACACTAGGAAGAGTAGATGCCAGGTGTGTGGCATATGCCCATCATCCCAGCTAGTGAGTCAGGAGGCTGAGACAGGAGGAGACCTGAGCTCTTGCGTTGGAGACCATCCTGGGTAAGGCTCAAGCAACCTATAGATCTGCCCTAGATGAAGCTATAGCCATTGTTACATCTTGTTCAAAAAAGCTGAAAATGTAAACATAAAACTTTATGAAAACAGAATTGTGCTTTACTCGAATGAGAAGACTTTCCAGCTTTGTGGGGCTTACTTTTCAAGTCACAAAGCCTTAAAGACAATTTTGAAAAAAAATACATCAGTAATTTAGGTAGCAGTTAACAGCAGTAAAATGTTCTGAAACATATATTTTTAAGTAACATTAACTTGTGTTTATCCTACTTAAAACTGCCATCAATAAATAATCAGTAGTTTTAGCTTAGACTTGTGCCTTAAGGGACATTTCATAAGACAAAACTGAGACCATATGACATAACATCAAAGCTTTCCACTTTCAAAACTTCCTGAAGAATAGACAGAAGCATCCTGGATGCTTCCGCTGTAGTTCTAAGTACAATTACCGTTGGTGACAGACAATGAGTGAAAAGCTGAGACTGACTGAGCAGTGAAGTCAACACATCATGCCAGAGCGTCGATGCTGACCCCTGACAACACTGAACAGCTGGGAGACTGAAGACCTCTAGGTCAAATACGTATCTTTATACCCTTCATCAGGCCCTGAACTATGGTTTCAGAACATCTGCTCTGGGTCAGTTCTGTTTGTAAGTGATGTTTATCAGAGGTTCTTGAGGTCTGATACAAGCTAAAACACAGAAAATGAGAATCAAAAAGCATTCAATTATCACTTTTAAAAATAATGTTTGTAAAATAACTTTAAAAACTTACCAACTCTGTCAGGGAGGACTTCAAGCGCAGAAACTCTTTCATCTTTATTAAGTTCTAGTCCATAAACACAGTCAAATCCGTCATACTTTATAAGATACAGGGAAGGGTTCACAGGCACCTGGTCCAGGACAGTCCCCTTCCACTGGGTGACAGGGCCGTTGCCCTCTCTCCACCCATGCTGGATCCTGCAGCCTACGATGTTCCGCCGGGGCTGGGACACAGGCTTGCTTGGTCCCACACTGGTCCGATGTTTTCTGTATTCACACATACAATATATTATTCTCACAAGAATGCAAATCTGGACCCAATATAGCCACCAGCTTGCATGTTCTTCACATACATGATTCTAAGCACAGACAAACGCCTACTGGTGAGCCAGGACGGCAAGTCTGAGGCATGCCCAGGCTGCATAGCAAAATGTGCTTCAAAAACAACAGGCTAAAGAAATGCCTCAGTAGGCAAACAACATTTGCTGATCCTGCAGATGACCCAAATTCGGTTTCCAATATCCATATGGAATTTTATAACTGCCTGTACCCAGTTCCAATGGCCATTTCTGGTCTCCTCAGACATCAGGCACACATGTGCATACAGGTATGATGGAAGCACTCACAAGTACATTAAACAAAGTATTTCACTCCTCCTTATGCCCTGGTAACCTTAAAGTCGACTGTAAATCAGTTAGTTGAACTGTGTGTGCATGCACTACAGTTCTCTCAGAAGCCCAATTTCCTCACATACTTGAATATCTCATGAGCACATTTTAATAGTTTATGACAAATACTAACACATGAAAAATATTGCAGTAACATCAAACTTTGGTGGTTTTGTACTCCTAGTGGTTGAAATATTTACATAAGATGCTAATACTCTGGCTATTTGTGTGCACACACATGCACATACAAGAATGAGTGTTCATGCAGAGGCCAGGGGTGCTTTCAGGTGTCTTCCTCTACTGCTCTGCACCATGTGTTTCAAAGCAGGGTCTCTCACTGCATCTGGAACTTGCCATTTAGGCTAAACTGGCTGGCAATGAGTTCCCAGGATCCCCCCATCTCTGCCATACCTCCAAACAACTGAAGTTAGAGACAAATGGCCCATCTGGGGACCCAAAACCCAGGTCCTTATGCTTATTCAGAAAGCACTTTACCCACTCAGACCACGGGCCCCTATCCTGGCGTCTGATATTGGGGGCGGGGGGAGGGCACACTTCATTTCACTTTAAATAAAAAAAGGACAAGACTTGGCATGGATGCAACCCAGGCCAAACCAACTTGACAGATGTTATGTGCTGAGAGCAAAACAGGGCTGAAGAGGCTTTCTTCATATTTTACAAATATGTATGATAACCACAATTAATTTCTTAAAAAAAACAAAACCATACTTACAATAACTAAAGATATATAAAAGAAATGTATTGTTTGCATGCTCTTAGCCTTGCCAGAGGTCCTGGAGACAATGGTCTCTTGAAAACATGAGGAAGCACTTCGGAGCCAATGAGGGAGGGAGGGAGGGAGGGAGGGAGGGAGGGAGGGAGGGAGGGAGGGAGGAGCCAAGGCACACAGTGGGACTGGGAAAAAGGAGTGAGGAAAGTGCAGCCCCTAGAAGGCAGACACCTCCACACCTCCTCCCCCATTTCCTGCCCTCAAAAGCTCTTGGAAAAGCAGCACACCTTCCTCCTAAGGAGAGCTATGTCCCCAGACTACCTCACTGGAGTGCAAAACCCTAACTAAGCAGGGTGTGAACAGAGCCAGGAAATAAGTCCAGAGGCAGATCCAGAAAAACAAACAGAAAACCAAGTAAACAAAGCAGTAAATACAGGTGGTTAAGAGCCCTCTTTGAAATAAGCCAGCATGAGCTAAACTGAGGAAGCTTGGGAAGTCTGAGGCAAAGGGAGTAACTGCTTATCTTCTTCCCTCCCTTCCAGCCCTAGAGTCCTGCTAAACAATATGCAAAAGTACCTTAAAGAGGAAAGAAATGTTCTTAATTGAGTTGTGATTGGCAGTACAAGCTGGCCAGAAAAATATACCCATATTTTAAATAGATAAAACTATTACTAGCACTAAGCAAAGGAAAGAGAAGCTTCCAATTGACTGTGCCAAGAGGTGCCCAGATTAGATGTTTGTTTCTGGATGTTGTTTGAGAATGTTCTACATCGAGGTCAGTATTTGAACTACTGGGTTGAGGAAAAATAATGTGACCTCCTCAGTACAAATGAGGGCCTGAACACAATAGGCAGGAATATGGTTTTCTGGTTCCTGGTTCTCCAGCTTTGCACTAAGACTGGACTCTACCATCAGCTCTCCCAGGCCTCTGCCTCAAACACTGCAAACTGAGAGGACTTCCTTGCCTCCATATTGCATGACTCAACTTCTCACAATCTCATAATGCTCTTCTATGTTCTACTGATTCTCTTGCTCCAGAGAATTCTTACACAGGAACATGTATCACCAAATGGAAAAGCTCAGTGAGATAGTCAGGTAAGACACAACATGAAAAAGCTAGGCAAGGGAAGAAACAACCAACCAAAAGGATTTGGTCATGCAGACAAACCTAGAGGAATCTGAGGAAGTGGACGCACAGGTTTCCGTTTACACAGACATGAGTGGTGAAGGGAGGCAGGGTAAACCTAAGGTGGCAGGTATAAGCACTACAACAGGAGCTATGTGCAGCCTGCTGTCAAATGCCAACATAAACAGCATATACGCACACAAGCATGTGCACACCACAATGCATCTGTGGAGGTCAGAGTTGATTCTCTTCTTATACACTACATGTGTCTAGGGAATTGAACTTGAGTCACCAGGCTTGTGAGGCAAGCACTTTTTCTCTCTGAGCTATCTCCTAGTTCCCACACGATCACTTATTACTGAGATTGCTAATTCAGGGAGACAACTGTTCCCTCAAGGGTGAGCAGCATTGGATGGTGGTGATTCTAGTAGAACTCACAAGCACACTTTCTTTACTCTCTCAAATAGTCACAAATCCTCCCAGGTCAACTTCAGGTGTAAGAAACTACTCACATGTCAGTCTCACAGTATTTAAGAATCAATCAAAATATGTAACTTCTGACATTATAGATTTAACACAATTCTCAATCTCTTACACAACATATCCAATACGACATGAGAAGAAAAGCTTCAATAAACCTATCAAAGCTTCTAACTAACACTCAGACTCAAAAAAGGACTTCTAGACATGTGTAGTTTCTAGAAACAGGCATCTGTCCTCCTGGGGGTGCGGGGTGTGTATGTCCTTGTCTTCAAGCAATCAGTCATAAGCCTTTCAATGTTTATGCCCATGTCTCAGAGAACTCCCCTTTATAGGAACAGGCTTATAACAAAGGCTAAAGCAGGTGCCTCACCTGACCAAGGACAGGATTTGGTCATATATACCAGTTCCTAACTTCAAACACTCGCCATTGTAACTTCCCAAATCCTAAACAATAGACATTGTTATTTCTTCTTAGGATTGCTTTGTTTATTTTGAATCTTTGCTACTTCCATATGAATTAGGGAAGTACTTTTCTTGTTCTGCACAAGAAATACCACTGGGATTTTGCTGGAGATCGTATTGACTCTGTATGAGTCGTGTCAGAGCATGCCTTAAGTAAATCATGAAGTAAGTCATAAGTCAAATGGAAAGGCAGCACTTTCCTACCTCACTCTACTTAAATGTTGATTCTATTGCAAATCATGGTTGAGTACCATTTTCTTTTCATTCTTATTTTGTGTGCATATGTGTAGGTGCATCTGCACCACGGTGTGTGTGTCTGTGGGTACATCTATAACACAGTGTGAGTGTGGATCAGAGGACAACTTACAGGAATCAGTTCTGTCCTTCTGTCACGTGGGTCTTGGGACAGAACTCAAATCACCAGGTTTAGCACCAAGTATCTCTTCTGGCTGTGGCATCTCACCACCCCTTTTCATTTTTTGGAGTCAGGGTCTCACTCGATGGCTCAGATTGCCCTTGAACTCACAGTGATCCTCCTGCCTCAGAATTCTGAGTGCTGGAAGTAAGGTGCTCAGTACAAGGCTGTGGTATTTGAATGAGAATGGCCTCATAGGCTCATATATTTGAATGTCTGGTTCCCAGTGAATTATTTAGGAAGGCTAGGAGGTGTGGCCTGCTTGGAGAAAAGGTGTCATTAGGGGGTGGGCTTTGAGGTTTCAAAAGCCCATACCAGACCCAGTCTCACTCTGTTTCTCTTACCCACACACCTATACGTGTGGGTAAGATATAAGCTCTCAGCTACTGCTGTGCATGCCTGCCTACTGTAACGCTCTCTGCTATATGGTGACCATGGACTCACTCTCTATAACTGTAAGCAAGCCCTCAAAGAAATATTTTCTTTTTAAGTTGCCTTCATCATGGTGTTTCTTTACAGCAATAGAGCAATAAAGCAATAACCTTATAAGACATATGCCCAGTTCAGGGTACCATTTTTTATCTGTTTATGTAACAGAGAATCTTTTTCATGAACCAGTAAGGCACCACATGTCAAAGCTTCCCCATGCAGAACAGTAATATCCCAAGGGAATCTATGTTATGGCTTTACTGAAAGAAAATAATGACTATTCACTGACACAGTTAATGAGAAAGCAGAAAGAAGATGTTAGTAAGACACCTTACTGACCAAGTAATTACGGTCTGTCACTACACCAGAGTAACAATACAGCTATTACAGTTAAAGGAAAGTTTGGAGCTCATTGATGGACTGCTTACCTACTATATCCAAGACACGGGTTTGATCACCAACTCCATGAAAGAAATCTAAAATTATAAGTAAGAACTTAAAGATGTTTTAAAAACATGAATGTAACCCATGTTTTGCTGCTAACTCCAGGGTCTTTCCTATGAGGCTGGAGACGGATGCAGGTTCCTTGAAGGCCTTGTTAAAGGCCACTGCCCTGCTCTCCAGCAATTCCATGCATCTTTGTGATGTCAAATACATAGTGAGTCCCAGGCAAAGCAGAAACAAGAGACCCAGACAGACAATGACATGTCCTGTTCCCAAGAACTGGGCAAGACTTTGCCATCCACAGTGGCTTAAAAGCAAACACCAGAAAAGAGGCTCTCAATTTGCAAGGGGTTAGGGAGTGATGGAATGGAAGGAAAGGATATGGGACAACTGGAGGAAGAAAAGAAAGGAATGATGGAAGTTATTTTATTTAAAATTACATTGTATAAATGTGTAAGTCAAAGAATTAATAAAAAAATATTGTTTTAAAAAGGAAAAGACAAAAGAACT